TATATGTTTGCTGTGTCAGCTACTCATTCTACGGTATTTATAATAGCAGCCTGGGATAAGACAGCCATTTAAGAAGACTTGATAGTAATTACACCCAGTGCAATTTAAATACATTATAATACAGAAATTTATGCAACTATTTACTGAGTAGTTATGTAACCATTATCAAATCCTGCTCAAATTCTGTTTAGTTACTGAACTTAAAACATCTAACACAAATGTCTGAAAAAAGCAAAAGGAAATGTGAGAGAGAGAATGGATTTACATTTCACATGTTTTTTTTTGTACAGGCAGAGGGAAGAGAGAAGGGACTCTGTCATTTTTTCCAAGTGAAGGTAGCCCTTGCTCCAGCCTGTGTGTTAGGAGGGGCTGCTTGACAGCTAATTCTTTCAAAGAAAATTTCACTGACTGTCTTTTTATTGAAAATTGCTTCATATAATTCAAGGTGTTTTCCCAAGAGAAAAATTCCTCAACATATAGCAGCTCAAACTTGTGGTGATGAAAGGAAGCCATCACCATCAATATGTCTTGACTATCTCTTCTTCTGTCAGCTACTGGTCCCTCTTGCCAGACCACAGAAATGCCTGGGGAACATAAGCCACAATTTTCAAATCTTTGTTTGCATTCTTACCTATAAAATGAGGGCACTGGAGATTTATAATAATTTATAACATTTATTGAAAACTATTTCCTGGTGATAGATTTAAGTTAATGATCACAACAGAAACAACAAAAGTAATAGCAGCATGCACAATATTTGCTAGTGTAAGGCACTATTCAAAGCAGTTTTCATATATTTACTTACTAATCTATCCAACAACTGGAAATATGTACTATTAATAAACCCATTAAATTAACTGGGGTTCAGAGAGTGTAAGCTACTTTCTCAAGGTCATAGTCTAGGTGGGAGTCTGGATGAAACCTGTGTAGTGTGGCTCAAGTGTGTGTGGCGTGGCTCACACTCATCTAATCCTCACAGCCATCTCCATCTTAAAGATGAAGAAATGAGATACAGGGAGGTCACATACCTTGTCCAAAGTCACAAGCTAGTATGTGGTAGTCCTAATATTTGGATACAGGCATTCTGCCCTAAAGCCCATACTCTCAGCCATTGTGCTTACCCACCTCTCCTGGAATGGTCTAACTCCAAGCCCTCTGTTGGCCTGTACATCTAAGAGTCTATTCCCATCTGAGCTCTGACCATATCTAGTAAGGCTCAGACTCTGCCTATATATTGATGTTCTATAAGATGATTTACATGTAAAACCTTATATTCTTAAGTTTGATAAGGTAAATCATCAATTTCAAAAGTTTGAAATTTGTTAAAGATCTGTTCTCTGTAGAATCAGCAAGGAAAAAAGTAAAAGAAACCAGTCAGTCAGAATTTCTGCTGTGTTTCAGGGGTTACTCATGCATTTCTTTAGGTAAAATCCTTATGAGATAATGATTTTTGTAGCACATTTTAGAAAGTTTGAAAAACCATATCATAGAAACTGCTGTTATGGCCACCTAATTGCACCTGTATGGTGTTCAACCAATGGCAGTTAATACTTAATGCAGTAAACTCACAGTACAATAACTGGAAAAAGCAAAATCAACAGCATTTGAACTCTTGCTAGCAGAACACAAAATGGTGACTCCAGGAACAAGTCTATGTGATGGTTTGTTCATTTTTCAGTCTCTTGGTGAAATGACCTTTGGGCCTGTTTCCTATAATACTAGCATGCTCCTTTAGATTGGCTAGAAAAAGGGTTTGCAACCAAAATACAATCTTGCTCCTGTGTGCAGGGGAGGTGCCTCCTGCTGAGGCAAGCCAAGACTTTGTTCTGCCAAAGTAGACAGAGACTGGCAACTACCATATGGCCCCCACTTGCCTTCTGATGATACGTGTCTACCCTGTAGAGCAGTGGTTCTCAACCTTCCTAATGCCACAGCCCTTTAATACAGTTCCTGTGGGCTGTGACCCACAGGTTGAGAACTGCTGCTGTAGAGTGTAGATAGAATTAGCACAATGCTTTTCTTAGCTTCAGCTTTCTCTGACATAGAGCGTTTAACCCAAGGAGCTTTCAGGGATCCTGTGCATTTCACTTTCATTCACACCCTCAAGCTAATGCAGTCTGGAAGGTTGCCCACTGCATAGTGTATGGCCCCTTTCCATGACTTACCTCTTCATCCTCCTTGGCTTTGTTTGACAGTAAGAGGTCTACGTATGTCCTCATCATTTTAAGCAGTTTAACACAAAGACAGACACATTTCAGGGAGAAGTGACTCCAAAAGAGTGAGATCACCAATACGCATGGGCAGTAAATCCAGGGAGTGCAAGGCCACCAATATGTGTGAACTTATTAATCATAATTATTACTTTTTCTAAGAAAAGGATTTCCTTAGTCAAACCTCAAGGGCATCAGATCAAAGGGGGATACTGTCACAGCTGGACTATATTTTCCAGCCAATTGGCCTCAAAAGGAGAATCTAGACAGTGTCCTGGCAACTGTATTTAACACAGCAGCAGTCCATGAAAAGAGGGAAAAGCATTCTTGGACTAAATTTTAGAAAAAAGTCTTCTTTTACTTATTTGCTCCTCCCTATTTTTAGGGATAGTTTGAGAGTAATGTCCAAGCCTAGGGATTTCCTAGGTCCTGACCCTGAGAATTCAGAATATTCTGTAGATAGAAACAAAAGGAGGTTTTAGTTCAGAGTGTAAGTTGCTTTTTTAAAGACTATATATTTATAATGAATTATCATAAAAATATCTCTCAAATTTAGGCCAATGGCAGAGTATTCGATCAATTTTCTCCTGCCAGTTTGATATAAGTTACCACAAACATTTACCAGGACACTATAAAGTCATCCTACAGAGGGTAATAAAATCATAACTGGAGAAATTTAGTTACATGCCCTGGAAGTTCTCCCAAAAATATATAAAGAGAAATTATAAGAGTGACTATTAACACACAACAAAAAAGCCACACAATCCAAACCCCACTATGGCAGAAGCACAGCAATACACACAGAATCATGTGAAAATAAAAATACAGGCACAGAAAGGGATTTTATGACTTACAGAGAAATGAGATGTGAGAGTGATTGTGCAAAAAGAAAAAAGAAAACAAAGACCATGTCCATAGTTAAAGAAAGGTGTTTCTCACCGTTCTGAACAAAATGGCTGAACTAAGAGCCTCTGACTGGCTATGCCCATATACCCTCCTCCTCGTCCTAGGGGAGAGAGGTGGCAAAGGAGGCCACACCCCAGAGCAGCATGGGAATGAAAAAGAGTTGGTTAGTATTTAAAACAAACACATACGCGCAATGTAGTAGAAGAGAATTTACTGACTTTTTATATTAGTTTCTAATTTCCTAAACTATCAAAATTAATAATTATAATTGGTCCTCCATATTCATGGGTGCCACATATATATGGACTCAACCAACCATCGACTGAAAATATTTGGGGGAAGAAAACCACAAAAAATAACAATGCAACAATAAAAATAATACAAATAAAAATACAGTATACCGACTATTTACACAGCATTTATACCATATCAGGTATTATATATAATCTGGAGGTGATTTAAAGTATAGCGGATGATGTGCATAGGTGGTATGCAAATACTATACCATTTCATATAAAGGACTTGAGCATTCTGGACCCCCCACAGATATGGAGGAACAACTGTAGTTTGTCAACATACTTCTATTCTTCCTGCCTTTCCAAGATGCCATCACTATCTCAGGGCTGAATCTAGGCAAAATTATCAAGTCGGAGGCTTTTCTGTTTTGCTTTTTCAAATTTTCTCCACCTCTGTTTGCTTCTTTCTGCCCCAGGCATCCAATTCCCTCTATCTATTATCAGAACCTATTCCCAGGATAGGATCTAACATGCATCTTATACACACTGGTATCAGGAAGCAGGTGGAGAAAGCAAAGTGATTTTTGGTAGGGAAAGAATGCGTACACCAGGCAGATAACTCTATTTTGCCTACGTTAAAGATTGGTACTGTTTTTTCTCTAAAATATTAGGCTTGCCTCAACTAGCTTAGCAAATATTATCATACTAGGACTACACTTTCTGAATCTCAGGAATAACAGCAATTTGAATATCACTGCTGCTTTTATCTGTACTATTTCTGATGTTTCTCCTTAGACAATGCTTACTGTTATGTAGTAAGGACGGTTAGCAGGGAAGTTCGCCTTGACTCTCTAGTCATATGGATGTAATTATCTATTATTTTTTTCCTTTAACTATATATTTTAAGACTGGGTGTGATGGAGATGTTGAAATCTGATTTTTGGCAATGGGATATGAGGTAATCTGTTCACCACTCTCTCCCATCCATCATTTTCAAGATCTTGGGAGAGTTCCCTTCTTCCAAAAAACTAGAATTGAACATGGTTCCCTTCAGACTCATCAATGTCTCTTTTGCATTCATTGATGAGAAGTTGAAGGTAACAGTTTTCCTTGAGAATAACACGCTGAGGGATCTACGAGGAAAGGAAGTAAAGAAACTAAGTTTAAATCTTCCCTTTTTAAGAAGTGGTGAGCAGAGTTTCATAATTTACAATTAAACAGAAATAACTTCTGCACTGAGTTGTGCCTCACTGAGCTTAAAACGAAAGAGGCTTTTTTCCCTAATAAGTCCCTGTTTCTTTAAAAAAGAAAAGCCACATACTTACAACTTAGTATGTATGTGTCTCTGAGATACATACCTCAGATACCTCTGAGAAGGTTAATTTTTTTTTCCTCACCCCAATTCAAAGATTCTTTACCATTCTCAAGTGTTTCAAGTATCTGCTCTTAAAATATTCAGAATCACCAACTTCCTACATAGAAACTGAGTCTGTGTTTTAAAAAAATGGAGTTTTTAGAGACCAATTTAGTTATTCAGTTTTCTTCTTTTAACATATATCCTATAATTTGCAACATGCTTGTAAAAAAATATATCAAAATATTTAAGTGTACTTTTTTAAAAAAATAAAACATTCAAGAACAGTCTTACCTGGTCTGGGGAGGGCTTATGATTTGTTTGATTGGACTGGGAGGATCTGAAGTGGTCATCCTCATAGTTGTCGGCCATTAGCTTCATTCGATTTTGTGTCTAAGAAAAAATGATTGATAAGTTTAAATTTAGATAAAATTTCTATGACATATTGTAAAGTATCAAATATTGTAACAATTTCTTAAGAAAGGATAAAATTAATCCTGTCTACAATAAAATAAACAGGATTTCTGAGGCTATCGGAAACAGATTAAACACTGCTATCAACTGAATTGCACACCCTCCAAAATTCAGATGTAGAAGCCCTCACCTCTAATGTCACTGTATCTGGAGAGAAGGTCTTTAGGAGGTAATTCAGGTAAATGAGATCAGAAGGGTGAGCCCCTAATCTAACAGGACTGTGGCTTTGTAAAGAAGAAAGATGGAGCTCTACCTCTCTGCCATGCGAGAACCCAGCAAAAACGCAGCCTCTGTAAGGAAGGAAGCGAGCCTTCAACAGGAACTGAACTAGCTAGCACCTTGATCTTGGACTTCTTAGCCTCACAGTTCCCAGACTAGGAGAAAGTAAATGTCTGTTAAGCCACCCAGTCTATGGCTGCTCTAGCTAAGAGAGGCACAGAAATTAATACAGGAATTTGAGGGGAAGAGGCAATAGTTACAAATTAGATACTACATGTAGTGTTTATTTTTACATTTTCAAATACAAACTGGATTATACTACACATAGGACTCTGTAACTTTATTTTTTCCTTTATGATATTGAGGACCCATCTTCCTATGTTACTGTTATAAGAACCTATTGATCCTTTAAAATAGCTATTTCATTATTTCAGATGTTATATAACATACAGACAATAAACACTGGAATTAGTATCTATCTCTGAGATGGTTAAATTTTTTTTCTCAACCCAATTCCAGGATTCTTTATCATTCTCAAGTGTTTCAAGTCTTTGCTCTTAAAATATACAGTATTAAATGAAGAGTTAAGAATTAAATAAAGTTACCATTATTTATAAATAAAATTATGTATCTAGAAAATCTAAGAGAATCAACTGAAAACTATGACAATTTAGAGTTCAGTTAGATGAACAGACCGAAGCTACATATATAATATTCAGTAGCTTTTCTTTATACCATCAACAAATAATTTTGATTTCAAAAGCAAGTAAAAGGTAAGATATATAACTATATGTTTACATAATAATTAAGAATTTTTTTAAAAAGCCAAAGGCTCTGAAATCCTTGTCCTCAACCCTAAGCCAGAAGAGGATTGTTATCCCATTGCTTTTTCTCTGTCTTTAACAAAAAAATAGGACTAGATTAGTGATTGTCTGTGGTTCGTTAATTAAGCCCCAAATAAAAGAAAAATAAGTTTAACATTTTAGAGAATGCACTCTGCAGAGGAAGCAATTCAGAAAATTAAGGGTACACCAGGCATAAAATCAAACAGCAATATAGATTACACTAATAAAATATGATTAAAACCTGAAGTTTTAAAGCATTAAAAATAAACTTGCTAAAACTGTATGATTTTAAAATGTTCATAGTAGATAATTTGAAGATACATTACAAAAAAAAAAAAAAAAAAAGGAAAGAAAAATCATCTGTAATTCCTGTTAAGTATTCCTACTTAAATGTTCTGAGCTTCAGTTTCCTCACTTTCTGTTTCTGAGACAGTCTCATTCTGTTGCCTTCTGTAGAGTGCTGTGCTGTCACAGCTCACAGCAACCTCAAACTCTTGGGCTTAAGCAATTCTCTTGCCTCGGCCTCCCAAGTAGCTGGGACTATAGGTGCCCACCACAACACCCGGCTATCTTTCTGCTATTGTTGTCATTGTTGTTTAGCAGGCCCTGGTCAGGTTTGAACCCACCAGCCCTAACCACTGAGCTACGGGCACTGAGCCCAGTTTCCTCACTTTTAAAATGGGGATAACAACAGTTTCTCCCCAGGCTGCTATGAGGATTAACCATTTGAGTTAAGATAAAGAAAGCACTTAGAATGGTGCTGGGCATAAAATCAACACTCATACTCTGGGAGGCCGAGGCAGGTGGATCTCTTGAGCTCAGGAGTTCAAGACCAGTCTGAGAAAAAATGCAAGACCCCATCTCTACTAAAAAAATAGAAGACTTAGTTGGGCATTGAGGCAGGTGCCTGTAGTCCCAGCTATTCAGGAGGCTGAGGCAAGGGGATTGCCTGAGCCAAGAGTTTAAGATTACTGTGAGGTATGATGCCATGGCACTCTATCCAGGGCACAGAGTGCGACTCTGTCTTAAAACAACAAACAAAAAAACCCCACCCAATACATTGTAGCTATCATCATCATACTGATTATTTTTATGTTATTCAATAGTATTTATTGTGTAATTTTAGTTGGCTGCACAGGACTCAACACAATAGATGTTTACTTAGTCCTGTGTTATTGACCATTTGTCTCCTTTACATTTTCACCCAATAATATATGCACATTTTTGAGCTAGTTCCTCTCTTTAGTCTATAATGACAGCAAGGAAAACACTTATCAATAAATCATCCATGATATCTAATTTCTCTTTTAGGGGATGATCCTACAAGACCTTTGATATGTTCTGAGAGTTTGTGTCCCACCAAAATTGAACCCTAAGCCCCAATATTATGAGGTGGGGACTTTGATTGATGATCAGGTCATGAGGGAAGCTTCTCAAGAATGGGATCAATACCCTTATGAAAGAGCCGGGAGGGAGTTCATTTGCCCTTCTGCCATGTAAGGATGCAGTAAGGTGGAAGCTCTCAGCAGACACCAAATCCACTGGTGCCTTCATCTTAAAACTTACCAGTTTCCACAACAGCGAGCAGCAAATTTCTAGCCTTTATAAATTACCCAGTCTAATTATTCTGTTATAGCATCCCAAATGAACTAAGACAATCTTGAGAATATGTAAGGTTCTCTCTCCCATGGCCTGTGGTATTTGTGGCATTGCATGACAAATACAAAATCTTTGGCAAATCAGTTCTCAGGAATGAGGGAAGTACAGAGACAGAGCAGAGGCCTATGAAGAAAGGAAAGAAAACAGACACATCATGTCATTCATTTGGTTAAGACCTGTCCATGTTGACTTTAACAGGAATGTGGGCAAAAAGCACAGTTGGCTGTGTCTTTTCTTAGAACATAAGACACTTAATCTTCAATGTCTGAGTTTAAAAACTTAAAAAGAAATCCTAGCAAAATACACACAAATCCATTTTCAAGGCAGAATGTGTTTCAAGTACTTCCTAGGAATGAATATGTATGCCTGCCTGAAGGAACTGATTCCAGTGGACAGATAAGACCACCGATTACTTATGTGACTGATGTCACTGAATGAAAAAATTGTTCTAAAAACTTTTCCATTTCTAAAAGATATGAAGATAATCAAAGTTCAGTGTTCCTAGGTCTAGTGTTTGGAACCGTGGTGGGAAGTCTGCTCCCCGCACAGTCGTGCTGTTGAGCACTAAGTATCTGACAGCTCACAGAGTGCTGGATGTTACCCAGATTCTATAAATGACGCTCTGCTCTTAAGGAGCTCTCATCCAGTGCTCTTCTCAAGATAAGACCAAAAAGCAAAAGGAATAAGTTCTTCATGCTTTATAGCCATGAGTGGTACTTCATACCCAAATGTTTTCTGTCTTGAACATGCTAGGTTCATGTGCAGATAGTTGAAAACCCCTGGTCTCAATGGCATAAATAATAAAATGACCTGAAGGAAGAAAGGGAGGAAAAAGAAAAGGAAGGAAGAAGAAACTTGCTGAAATAATCTGTTAGTAATGAATGTCCACCTATGTATTCAAGTACACATACCCTACAATGAAAATATCAATGCCCAAACAAGGTGTTACAGAACTACGTTTCATAGAAAATTAAGCTAAGAAACAGAATAGGTTAGTTATCTAAATCCAGATATTAAAAGTCTGAATTCTAATCAAATTTGTGTTCTCGTTATTGATAAAATTTCTGACGGTTACAGCTGTAAGTCTATTTGCCAGACTAAAAAAGGTTAATCATTTAGTATACACATGAAGGGACTCTTATAATAATTTAAAATCATTGCTAAATAATTTTAAACCACTAATAATTTGATATCACTCTTAAAATTATTATATTTGTGCCAAATAGGAATATGACAGAGGCAGTTTGTAAAGTCTCCTCATGAATGAGAATTCATTCTAAACTGTTCTTTTTTCTTTACCTTGTTGCTCCTCGTGAAGAGATACAACTTTATGATGAAGAGATAGAACTCGGAGGACAGCATTAAATCAAATAGCTGAAAACATATTTCCACGCAAAAAATTGTCCACAAATGTTCATAGCAGTATAACTTATACTAGTTAAAAAGGAGAAAAATTTTATAAAGTATTTGCAAAATATTCTCTATGTGTTGGACACCTCTTTGTAAAATTTTGTAATGAGTATTTTATAAATAAAAGTACATTTAGCTACAATCTCCCATTTTCCCTATGTATGCAACTTTAGGGGCAACTTTTGGGACATCCTATATAATGCTTTTAAAATACCAAAAGCAATACAAGACTAGTACCAGGATGCCTTCATGATAAACTTTAAAATTTCTTTGCATTCCTTTCCTTCAAGTTGGAGTTTACTCCACTGAGGATGTACAGAGAAAAATCTATATCATAAGGTTAACGGAAACAATCTTTTGCTCCATGTGATATGTCAAAATTTAATATACAGATGCATTTGTTTCAGTTTGTTTTCAAATTTTAAGGACTGCTTTTCCTCCATTTCTGATCTAATTTTACTTTGGATTATGCAACACATTCATTTGATTCCAGAGTCTAAACTACATAACTAGGTACATTCAGAGAAGACTTGCTTCCATCTGTGTTTCCTCTATCCTGTTCCCTCCTTCCTTCTACAAGTAACTTTTTAATTTATTCTTCAACTGTTTCTTCGTACAATTATAAGCAAACACACAATTATGCAGGTTACCCCCTTTCTCACACAAACAGTACATTAAATATATTACTTTACATCTTGCTTTTTCATTTAACAATATATTCTAGAAATTGCTCCTATCAACAGAGATCTTTCTCACCCCTTTTTATAGCCTGCACAGTATTTCACG